TTAGAAATGAACGTAGAAGTATTTTCACTCTCTCCGCAGAATAAATGATAGTATATTCAAACTTTAAATTCTCCTCCGACCGGTGGAAGATAGAAAATAATTCCTCACTCCTACTTTGAAATAGGGTAAACTCTTCACTAGACTGTCCATCTTTAGTATAATTTAGATCTAACAACTCTACTGGCTTAGGAACACTGTCATTATTTTTAAAAGCATCCTCCAGTGGTTTCCAAGGCCATCGCAGCCGATTGCGATAGCAAACCGCATGAATCAATTTGTAAATTTTAAAGTGGAACCTCCAAATTTCCTGTGATGCCAGTTTCTTCGAAAAATTTCCCCTTTTGGAATTTTTAATACAACAAATAAGAACATCTGCACTTATAACCACATCCGCCACTTTCCTCTTTCAGTCTTAAAATTATTTTTTTCGTCTAAATAAATTAAAATACTTAGTACTAGAATTTAAACCTCATTATCTAAGTGAGACACTTCGTTGGGTAACTTACCAACTATAGAAAGCATCGCTTGCAAAATATCCCATTCTATCAACTAGTTCATAACTTCTTCATAATGGCTCGACGTATTTAACGCTAGTAGAACACCGCTTTTATCTTTTAATTCTCCACCGCACACAACTGTACTTCAACATGTCGGCTTTCTTTTTAAAAATTTAAAAATTATTATTGGAAGAAAAAACCATCTCTCCCATAGAAAAACAACGTTTGGGTAATTGCCAATGAATCTAATATAGTGCCGTGATCGTGGAGCATCATTAAAAATGATCAATAGTTCTTCTTCGTGCGACTCAACTTGCATTGCACCGTCACTGCTGTTTCTGTCTGTGTGAAGTCTGCTCTTATTCTCTGTGGCCGTCATTGAAAACACAAGGTGTGCAACCGCCAGGAGACATTTTAGATTAATTTTTGATTAGCAATTATCGATATACTCAGTTGTATAACAAACGGATCATATTTGAGCAAATATATCGATTTTGAAACCTAAAGGCTAAAGGCTCTTAACGGAATTCCCCGAAATGCATTACGATATACAACATATGGCACCGATAAGTCGGAATGTAATATGCGCAGGGCGAACTATAGTAAATATGTGTTTGTTGTTCCGCTGAAACGATGTCTAAGTAACGTACAATACAAGGGTTGTGCGCGGATATGTCCACCAGACTATGAGCCGATATGCGGCAGTGACAATATGACATATTCGAACGAATGCTTATTGGAAATAGAAAACTGTCGCACAAATAGTACTATAACTATACAATATTATGCAGCCTGCGGTCGGCCTGATGCACCGTCAACAAATTTTTTGTATTAGTGAAAGATTACGGGGGAATTGAAAATTCATTCCCTTTATATTTATAATAATAAAATATTTATTTCTTAGATATTAAGCGCCTGTCTGAAGGAAAAGCTAGCTGAGAAGTTCTCTGCTTCCAATACTATCAATGTTTTTTCTCCCTCAAGAGTCAGGTAAGTTGGTTTCCTTTTCTTTGGGTTAACATGAGTACAACAACAAGTGAGCCTTCCTCATCTCGGGGCGCAGACAAAAAAGTTTCATGTTTAAGCTAGATGAGACCATAGCTTAGAAGGCTGGCCTCTCCCCCTGATACGATAACCGTTATCCAAATTCTACAGTTGGAGATGAATCTACATGATCCTGATATTTCGGGTGACATGCGTTCATTGAAACATGCCCGAATACCGAGAATCAACGTGCCCTGATCTCTTCCGATTTAACTTTTTACAAATACATTAAGAATTTCCATTTAAGTGGTCTAAAAGTCATGAAAAGGATCAGCAAAGCAAAGCTCTTGCTTGATTCGCCATCCAATGCAAACAATTTTATTCTAAGCAATGACTTAGCACAGAAGAACTTAGAGGCACACATTTCCAGAGAGGCTTCAGGTGATTCCTACTCTGTCTGATAGGCAGTTTGGCTTCCGAAGATGCCTGGCCGAAGATGCCTGGCTACATGTGCAGGCATGTGTCAGGTATTGTAATGAGAAATATGTCTTAGGCATGTTTATTGACTTTAAGTGTGCGTTCGATCATATCAATTGGAACAATATACTTACCAGGCTGAGAGAGGTGAATTGACTGGAAATCAAACTCTGGGTAAGCTACTTCTCTCATAGACGAGCTTGCGTTGTCGGCAGAAACGACATTGTCTTCAGGGATGTGGTTAGAGGTTGTCCACAAGGATGCATCAGTGGACCATCTATATGGAATATTATGATGGATGGTTTGTTAAGGCAACTAGAGGGCATATGCGGCGAAGTTAATGGAATACTTAATTTCTCTGCACATGCAGATGGCCTCATCTTAGTGAAGGGTAGGGATCGGAAAGCAATAGAAGAACGCGATGGAATCGCTATGAGAGCCATCAGTGCATGGGGACATAGTGTTGGTGTTGATATATCACTGGACAAAACTGTGATGACCTCCAGTGATCAGAGTGAATGGGGTCAATCTTAGGTACGTGACCGCAATACCTAGGTAATACCATAAATGATCGGGGCTAGTTTATTCCACACCTTGATAAGGTTAAGGGTAAACTTATGAATGTGATAGGGTAGATTCGTCGTGTCCTACGGTGCGAATGGGGCCTTATCTGGCGTGCCGTTCGGGTAATATACGGCGGGCTCTTTGTTGCTTATGCAACATATGCAGCTCCCTTGTGGTGTCCGGACGTTACGTCTGTTGTAGAGCGAAATAAGATCTTGAGCTGCCACCGCATAATGTTGTTGGCATATCTGTCCGTTTGTAAAACGGTCTCCACTGACGCTCTACAGGTGTTGATGGGTGCTCCCCCTCTGGATCTTGAGATTTCACGTCTTAGTAATACCTATAGGATAAAGAGAGGGCTGCCCTTACTTGACGGTTTAAATACTCAGGATGTGGAGAGATTAAATTCTCGGGAGCGTGAATCGCAATTAAAGGAACGTGTGCGTGACTTATGGCAATCACGTTGGGATAATAGTGAGAACGGTAGAGTCGCTTTTAACTTTATCCGTGGTGTTTCCTTTGTAGAAAATCACACGGGTTTTAGCTTCAGCATATATCTCGGGTTTCTGCTTACGGAACCCGGATCTCTGAATGCAGTTTTGCATGAAAGAGGCCCTTCTGAAACTAGGGCTTGTCTATGTAGCAGTCTGTCCGAAGTTTATGAGCACGTGTTGTTGGTGTGTCCTGAGTAATCTGCTTTCAGAGACTTAGAGGCGATGGGAGTTAAGGTAGTTCACGGTAGCATTGATTGCAGTCTGGCTCGCTCTACACCTGAGACGACAGCTGCATTGAGGGCGTTTGCATCTGGTGTTTTCCTCAAGCGTCGGCTTATTCGACGAGGTTTGGGTAATTCTATTTAAGCTCTGCTTTGACGGTAGTTTATTATCGATAGTTTATTTGACTTCACTGATTGTTTGGGGGTGAGCCGCATGGGGCTTTATAAAGTCTTACCAGAACTTACTCCTCTATCTGTTATGGCATTGTGTTGGAAACCCGTTTCCACATTTCCTTGCATTGCTATGGTCGTTTGAGCTCGGTTTGAGCTTTGCTCACTCATAGAGTATCGTTTCCCTTATTGAACGAATGAGGTTGGGATAGGCCTCCTCCGCCCAGAGAAGATGCAATGCTCATGCGTCTTGTATTGACTGGTTCCCTATGATTGCAGCTTCCTCTGCAGATTCTATCCAATACCTAGTTTCAGGTCGTATAATGCCTGATGCTAAGTCTGACCGGACGCTTTCTCAATCATGTTTCATTACTTACTTTTCTTCTTTATATCCGGTACTACGGGTGTCAGGAGCCCCTGAAGCAACCTTCTAGCTTAGGCCTGTCAGCAGCAACGGCCCATTGCGGGAGTTTCGTGGTGGCTATGGTTGGCCCAAATCGTGGAAAGAGCCTAGGCTCGGTGTGGAGTTGCATAGCAACCGGGTGTCTGATTCAAAGAAAGACAGTGGTTTTAGATAGTGCCTCGCCCTCACCAGCGGGAGAGATACGCCCATATACGTATCTCCACTGGAATTCGAGGTTTTCCTCGGAGCGTCGAGTGTACGTTTCCACACATTGTGTGCCATCGGGCACCCTGGGGTTAAGCCTCCACGGAAGGTATCCACCTTAAGCACATAGAGGCATCTGTATAGAATCGGTACACAAAGTTTCCTTAGACCTTGTAAAACAACATGCCTATGTCATCCATGACATGCTGCACAACGCCTGCCATTTTGTCTAAGTTTTTGCTCACTGCACTTTCTGTTTTAACGGAAAAGCTGACTTCTATGCATGTGAAGCTCTACGTGATGGTGAAATTACATCTGTCAAATACCCGTAGACGGAAGCTTTGAGTCCAATCTGAAATACCATCGCCAGCGAACTTAATGAGGAATACATAAACATCGCCAAAGGAAGAATCGTCTTTTCTATAAAGTATTTCCATGCATGTCCTTTAATCCTCGACCGGAGTCTCTTTTCTCGTCTTGGGACATCAAAGTCCTCTACAGACTCATACCACGGCATACCTATGATAAACCCTGTCTGAAAATGGTCCGAGCACTTGATAGTGAGATTTGCGACCTATGGCTGATACCTGAACCACCAGAAACTGTCATTTTCAAACGCAAAAGATGAGACAACATCAGACTGATTTGCTTTTTTCGTATCTACGACAACATATTTGACATTTTTTATGCACACGCTTACTCTTTTGTCTATCTACTTTCTCGTTTTTCACCGCTCTCGCCCAAATCTTACTGAACTCACTCTAGTTCTACTCCGGTGTAAGAAACATCTCGCCCTTGATGTGTTACTACTTGGCTCGATTTGCAGTTTCGCTCATTCGGAAGCATGCTTTCAATCCTTCATTTCTATGTCATGTTACCGGAGATATAGATCTGTGTATGAGAGGTTTTTCTCCAAACGTCTATAAAAAACCAAAGAAAAATACATACATTTATATGTATATAAATTTATTTATACAGATTTGTGTGTAGTTTCTTTTCAACAACAATAAAAAATAAATAAATAAACTATGTCAGAAGTTGAGGCAGCTTTCTAAACTCAAGCTGAATCATCAAATAATTTACTAAGCATTGCTTTGATTTCATGCGGCTTATACTTGACATATTTCTCAGGATTTTTACTAAACTGCACGGCAGCATACCTTGAAAGTAAGCAAACACGAGAGACGAGAAATGTTCTTTAGAATGTAGTTTTTTTTTAAATTTATCGAAATCTTACATTTTGAAAAACTCATTGTATTTAGGCAGTATGTGCTCTTCATTGTCACGTTTAATGCCCTGACGTAAAGTGACATCGGGTATGGAAATACTGCGTTGAATTTTGCAAGCTTCTTCAAAGTCCTTGTTGAATGTCTACAAAATGGTTAATCGCAGCTAAATTACAGGGTTGACGCATTAAATTTACAACAGTAAAACTTACCAGAAAGCGTTCTTTCAATATGCTACGGTCTTTATCTTTTACTTTGCCCTGTGCCGGTTTAGGCAGCTCCTCAAGAGGTGAAATGTTTGCCAGCATTTTAGCCCAAGTCTTCTGATAGGAACATTTAAGTTCTTTAATTGTTTCAATATAACTGTTGCGGCAGTCGGGCTCAGCCATCGTAACAATGTCGATTAGGTTTGAAGTAATCAAAGAGTTTAGTATATAATTAATATTATTAAGGCGAAACAAATGCTTTGTAGCCTGATCATTGTATTGCTCACATTTATTCATTATAGATAGATTCAGCTCCGCTAACGCCTTTTCTATAATTTTTAATGTAATTGTTAAGAGCTCATCCAATAGTTGAAACTCATTTTATACTTATGTAAATGGCTAATAAAGCCTTATTGCGATCCTCTTCGGGTAATGATTTCTTCATCAATATAGTGTCGAGTTGAGTCGAATATAAAACATCCGGTTGCAAAATGGCACCGATTACATCGTAGTGATCACATAAATGTTCAATAAACCATATGGTATTTGAGGTTAATTCGTGAACTGTCGCGTCTTTAGGTACGTTCACATAACCTAAGGTACTTGAGCTCATGCCAACTATATTAGTACTGGATTCCCCCCGCACTACATCGAGAAAATGCTCTAGAGCTTTAGCACCCTAAAAAAAATGGTTTATTAAATAGTGTTTTGGAGATCATATCAGCGTACCGTATATTGTAGTTTGTTCAAAACCTTGGTCAATTGCTCCCTCTGTTGAACGTCGTATGTACG